TTGCTGAATAGTGCAGCGCTAGCTATAGAGAACAGGGTCCACGTGGCGGGCATTGCTACCGGTATCCACCTCTCTATTCCATAACGGTAGCGACTGGTACCAGTCTCAACCTTGGGCCATTGGACCGCCATTGAACGACCATTGGACCACCATTGGTACGCCATTGGACCGCCATTGAAGGACCATTGGACCGCCTTGTTACGTCATTGGACCACCATTGGACTTCTGTTGATCTACCGTTTGACCTCCATTGGGCCGTTATTGGGCCAACATTGGACTGACATTAGTCCACCACTGAACCGCCATTGAATCAATATTGGTCCTCTATCGCACCGCCATTGAACCGCCATTGGACTTCCAATGACCCACCGTTGGACCACCATTGGTCCACCGTTGGACCACCATTGGTCCTGGGTCAGACCGCCGCTACCAGCTCTCCGGCGCTGGCTCGCCGCGAAGCCCCGGGGCTACCGCGCGCGGTCTTTGGACGGGACGTGAGAGGCCTGCCTGATGACTGGGCCCGCCGCCGGGGCCTCTGAAGCACAGAGCGGTGGCTTGATTACTGGCTGGTAGCAGATGTCGGCGATTAAATGGGCTCTGCGTCAAAGAGTGTCAAACCATGGAGTTATTTGTTACGTTGATGCTATGCGGAAATGATGGAGCATAGCAGTTAGGTCATGTGATGCGCTGATTAGAGGAGAAAAATAATGTAAAAAGACATTCTAGAGCACCGCAGCAGCCATCCTATGCAATTAAACAACCATTTTCAACAGGTTTAACTGCATGCTTCGTTGCGTGCATTAATGATAGCCATTATCAACTACTGCCTTGCGAAACTTGTTCCAACATAAAATTGCGTAAGGCTTCGTAGTAGAAAACAGTGTGCCGTTTTTGCTAGTCACCCACAATGTTTTGTGAAGGATCACGATACGATATTGAGGCAGTAGAAAATACTTGAAAAGGTGACGGCGTCGGACGTATAGTCTTGGTTCCACGAATGGTTTTGGCTCTGAATCATTTATGAATGTTGGCGTGCTCTGATTCAAATACTTTGTCTGATTCATCTTCACCATATTGTAAAAGGACAAAGGAACTGAGTGACGAACAAAGACTCGTGTTTCTATTTAGCATGACCGAAACGTTATAAACCATGTCCAAGGATATTTAGGTGAAAATCCACACCAAATCTCCTCCTCATGCTTTATCCGTCTGTTTATTCCGCTCGGAAAGCCGTACCAGTCGGAGACGCCGGCTGTTTTTCGCCTCAGCACCTTTGGATCTGGCTTCCATACAGTCGGTGATCACAAGTAGCTAGTAAGCCAGGTTGGGAGTGACTTCTGAGATCCCGACGTCCCTGCTTATACGACACCTGCACCTTGTGCCTCTCATTGATGATAAACCATGAACAAAGGTAGAAAGACATGCAGCCTCCATCCTCATCTTTTTCCCAGTATCCCTATAACCAAATAGGGCACCTATGGGGGAGCCGATGCAAAGACTCCCGAAGACTCATCTGCAACTGTATTTGCCTGGGAAGTCGTAATTGCATCCGCTCCGCCCCTCTCGTCCATCGAATCGTCGTGCCTTTTTCACAGCCACTGCTGCCTCTGTCACACATTAACCACTTGCCTTTCATCCACCCTCTACTTCCACTCTTGCCTCCCATGCTCCCCACTCTTGCCTTCCTTTCTTATCAACTTTTGCTTTTCTTCCTACACCACCTTCCTGAGCAGTAATCGCCACGCACTTTGTATGTGGATCGCTCTTAAATGTAAATACAGTGCAAATACAATACACCTCTGCACCGCCTCCCTTCCACCCACGCCACTCTGCACCACCCGCACCCCTGTTTCCGCTACACCCGCACCCTTCCTCTCATACACCCGCGTCCCGCACCCTTCCCCCGCGCGCCACCCGCACCCCATCTCGTGCGCTCCAAGAAGCACTACCACCCCGGGGCACCATCCCAGCGCTCTCGGCGTGGGCCAGACGGCCCCAGTGATTTACGGACCATGTAAAGCTACACACTGGGCAGTGGCCGGGGCAGTCGCGGTGCTGCTGGGCAGATGAAGCGAGTTTTAGCCGAGTGGCGTCGGACGCACCGGCTGGGCGACCCCAGAGGGAGGAATTTCAGCAGGGCTGTAATCTGTACCGAGCCCGGCAGCGGGCAAGGCGTGGAGATGACAGGTTCCGTTTGCAATAGTTGGCGTTCCAGCCGACAGGATAACCACTCCTAATGCTCCATGGAAATATATGGCCGACTGTTGTGTTTGTTTCACTTATAAATAATCGTCGTCTAAATGGTTAAGCATGAGTTATGGTAGGTGATTTTGAGAGTACCTTGCATGTATAATCGGACAAGGATGCATCAGAATGAAGTACCAGACCTTTGCTGCTTCATTCATTCGTCCAGGACGCGGTTCTTGGAATGGTGATCTCACTCTGTGGCTGTCTTGTTCTCTGAATGGGTGACCAGCTGTTGAGCGGCATAGTTCTCGTGTTAGCGGTGCTATCTCAGTCCAATAGAACACGTGATGTCATGAGCTTAAGGCGCTCATATAATATTTCACAGCGCTGTTGCGTTTATCACCGAATGTTGATTGTGTGCTTTGCTTTCTATCGAATAACTGGCCGGACTATTGACATTCACAATTCAATTGAGTTATATGTACCGATGACTTAATGGTTTCCAACGTCAAAAATAACATCAGTTTGGGCTGCATTTGGGATAATTGATGACGTATGAAAATTCGTTCCCACTTTTACTGTCGCAATTTGCATCAGACATGTCTGTTTTTTCTTTCTGGCACTGTCTCCCTCTTTCAACCATAGATTGGTTGATATGACCACATTTTTCTCTGTTCCCTTTTTGGTCGATACTTTATTTTCCCCTTATATTCGCCGCCCCCTCGTCTATCTTCCCTTGTCTTCTGCGGCTTAACCACGTCATCTCCCCGTCTCTCCTCCCATCCCCATCCCTCCTCACATTTGACCCTGTCGATCGGTCGGTACTTTTTGCGGTATCTGCTGAGACAAAGAGAAGTGGTGCTATGGCGGAGCCCCGTGTCACGCCGTATTTCGTGGTTTGGGAGAATCCACTGCCGTTAACGATTAAGACCCAAAGTTTCCAAAACAAAGCTTCCGTTTGAGCTCTCAAGTTCGACAACCTTAGCGTTACCGCAATTGGAGTGACAAGGTGAACTCTGGACAGCGAGCGTGAACTCGAAAAGCCGTCGCCACTTCGCCAGAAGTCACAGGCGGTCACCTTTACTCGTTCTCGCGTCGTGAGCGAGTGTGTGACCTCTCCGGGAATAGTCTGAGTGGTCACGTGGGCGGCCACCGGACTGCCGTGGCGCCGGTGAGGCCGGTCACGTGACTGACAACGGTCACCCAGCGGCAGAGGTCAGCAGGTTCAAAGGTCGCCGCCCGCTCAACTCCAACCGCAAACGTGGCAAAAATGACAGACTATGGAACAACAATTAAGAGGCCATTCGAGTGTAGGAGTGGGGCAATGCTAAGAGCTTAACCGGCTGATTTGGGTGGGAATGCGGGAAGTAATTATTCACGGAAAAACTTGTTGCACTACAAATGTGCTCATGAACTGTTAATGACGTATTGACTATGTTTGATTCGTTGTTTAATGAACCACTTAGGTGCAATTCCCATATGCCTTTGATGGATCAGCAACTTAGATTACGCTCATGTTTTAGCTTCCAAGAGACTCCCGCTACAAATAAGGACTCCAAGCAGCACCCCGCCAGTCCCGTCATCCCAGAGTCCCTCCGTGACGAGTTACCCGGCAGAACACAAGTCACGAGTTCGCCTCCAACTTCCTGCTGCCTCTAACGGAGCCATTGTGTCAGCTGATTGCCGCAGCTGTAGAATGCCCACCCATGCGAAGCACTGGCCACCATAGCGACCTGCCCCAGTGACGTCACAACACACCAATGACGTCACAACTGGCGTGAGTGCCGCCAGTGCCGGAGCGCAGCGGGCGGTAAAATTAGTAATTGCCGACCGAAACGGCGCGATGTGACGATAAGCGGCCGTTGCAGCGCGCGTTTGGCAATCTCGGCGCTCGCTCCGGAGGCGATTGGTCGGTGGAATGGTGCGTTTGGTATGTAGAGAACAGCCATCGGTGCTATATCACTGCGTTCGGTAGTCGAACACTCGTTATTGACATGCTGCCAGGTTCGTGTTGGGAATAATGAGAGGGCCACGCCTTGTGGCTGTGGGCTACACGAGTGCAGGGTAAATGTACGGACTGAACTATGGCGTTGAACTATGTTGTGGTATCTTTTTTTGGTTGAGGAGTGACTTTTAGCGAAGTTTTTATCATTTGATCATGTTTGCGGTGGTAGATGCTTCTTCGAAGACGTTAGGCTGACACGAATCTTGTTTTTGCTTCCCGCACTCCACTCATCTTACGCTGCAGACGGCTGGATTTGAAAGGCTTTATCTGACATTTTCATCCTCTCGAGCAGGACTTGGGTAGAATCGAGAAGTATAAAGCCATGCAAACAACAAGCAGTTGTTTGAACAACACCACCCAGCGAAACCAGACAGCTAGGCTTACTTCCTTGAGAGCTGCCAGAATGCTATCTTGTGGAAAAGATGAGAACTTTGGCATTTCCCGACACCCTGTATGGCTTTGTGGTCAAATCTGGAGATCGTGTATTCCTTCTGACAAAGTCGTGCATCAAGCGCTGGTGAACTCTACCCTACTTCAATGACTTGATTAGATACCGTGAAATGTTTTTTATTTGTGTATATCTGTCTGTCTCTCGAGCGCGCTCTTTTCTTTCCTCTTTTTCTCTTTTTCACTCTCATTTGCTCACTCAGTAACTCACGCACTCCTCCTATCACCTACGCATATACTCTCTCTCTCTCTCTCTCTCTCTCTCTCTCTCTCTCTCTCTCTCTCTCTCTCTCTCTCTCTCTCTCTCTCTCTCTCTCCATCTCCATCTCCATCTCTAACCTCCACCTCTCTGCTCTCTCAGACACGGCCTCGTCCAACGAGGCGGCCACGCTGCACCAGCGTCTGCGCTCTCTGAGCTCCGAGCTGGTGACGCTGCGCAGTCGGCTCCACGTCACGCCGCCGCCGCAGCCGCCCGCCGCGCCGCCCCCGCCCCCGCCCGCCGGCCAGCCGCCCCTGCCCCAGCCGGCGGCGCCGCCGCCACAGCCGCCGCCGCCGCCCCCGCCGCACAAACCTGTGCTCGCTACTGGTGAGTGGAGCTGAGGGCTTAGGGAAGAGTGTATGCTGATTGCTGATGGATGAAGTGATGTTGTGACGTTTGTGTGACATGAAATACTTCTGGTGGTGTGATGTGTGTGTGTTGACTTTGACCGGGCTTTGATAGGAAGCTCTTATAACGATTCACATCCCCACTAGTTATCACTCAAAACTCAAATGATTCCTTTTTTGGTGTAAATGGGGTGTGGTCTAAAACGATACCCACTTTACGCCCTACTTAGACCAGAAAAACACCATCTTAACCCTCTCGAAACACCAAACATACACCCTGTACACCTGTCGAACACCGTTCATACACCCCTCTTGCACCCTTTTAACACCACCAGTAAACCTATATGACACCCGTATCATATCCACTTGCACCGGGTTTACACCCCCTGAACCAGCTTTATGCCACCTTTGCACCTTATGTGCACTCTTTTTACTCTTGTGCTACACCACCTTGCACCCAAATTACTCCTGTTCTACACTCCCTTTGCACCCATTTTACTCCTGTTGTACACCCCTTTGCACCCATTTTACTCCTGTTTTACACCCCTTTGCACCTATTTTTCTCCTATTCTACACCCTCTTTGCACCCATTCTACTCCTGTTCTACACCCTCTTTGCACCCATTTTACTCCTGTTCTACACTCCCCTAGCACCCACGGTACACCCGGCTAGCACCATCCATGCACCGCTCCCCAACACCACCGCTCCCCACCTTTTCCATTCGCAGACCCGTCACCAAAGTCAGCCAGCTGGTGCAACATTTATTACAACGAAACTTAAAACGAAACGCATAACTAAACTTAGCGCATACGAAACTTAGCGCGGCCGCCCAGCCGCGGTGGCCGACTATGACGAACAGTTTCAGTCTATCTTGAAGGAACTGCTGGTCTTGAATGTCGGCCGGGGGCCGCTCAGTGGCTAGGAGTAGCACTCTGATTTCTTGGTGGTCCCTTGTTTGATAGTTCTCGTTGATAAGCCTCTGTTGAGAGAGGTAGTTCCGCCACTGCTGGTTAAACTCGGACGGCGGGAGCACCAGCGGAGGTGGGCCGTCCATGGGGCGCTGAGAAGCCGAACCCGGCCGAGGTGTCGAGTCTGGTTGCGATGGCTGGGCAGCGCGGCCCGGCCGGGGCGGCTGTAAAAGAGTCGCCACTCGGCGGGCGAGCTGTTCCAGCTGGTCGTCACCCAGAAGCACCGGCTGGGTGGGCCTCGCGCCCCCGGCACCGCCTTCGGATCGATCCAGCTCGAACTGTAGCTGGCGAGCCACCTGGCTCCTGGTGTTCCTCGACGGCGTGTCGGCTGCTGAGAGTCGTTGGCGCGATGTGGAGGGCGTACCTGGGCGGTCGTTGCCCATCCGCTCCTAGGAAGGGCAGAATCTGGCCGCGGGTAGGCACCGTGGTGCGTCCCGCTAGGCCAGAGGGAGATCCTGCGTCGCACTCCGCACTCACAGCCCACTTAATAGAGGTTTTCACTTTTCACCACCTAGCACTTGGGACGCTCCCCTCGTCGGAGCGTCCTGAGTCGCGGTCACGGCGAAACTGAGCCGTTAACGTCGGCCGAGGGCCCGCGCAGGGGCCTAGGCCGCTTCCCATTGGTCGGCCGCGCTGACGTCATGTCGGCAGCCGTTAGAAAGCGCGCGAAAAACGGCGTTGCTTCCTTGTTCAATGAGTGTAAAAGGGGTGTTTCCAGAAAGTTCTTATCCCGATCTATTCCCTTATTACACTCCGATCTGGGCATCGCCATATGGTGTACAGATGGTGTTTCAACGATGGTGTTCGTATAGTGTAAAAAGGGTGTTTCCAGAAAGTTCTTATCCCGATCTATTCCCTTATTACACCCCGATCTGGGCATCGCCGCCCTAGGTGTACAGGTGGTGTTTCAACGATGGTGTTCGTATAGTGTAAAAGGAGTGTTTCCAGAAAGTTCTTATCCCGATACATTCCCTTATTACACCCCGATCTGGGCATCGCCATATGGTGTACAGATGGTGTTTCAACGATGGTGTTCGTATAGTGTAAAAAGGGTGTTTCCAGAAAGTTCTTATCCCGATCTATTCCCTTATTACACCCCGATCTGGGCATCACCTAGGTGTACAGATGGTGTTTCAACGAGGGTGTTCGCCTGGTGTGTTGATGGTATATTTAGCGGATCGGTGTATGAGCGGTGTTAAAAAGGTTCATGGGTGCAAACAGGGACTAACAACGGTGTATAATGGGCATCAGGTTGGCGTACTTCTGGTGCATATCTGGTGTAAAGTGGGTGTAATCCCAACTTAACCCTCGCCCTGGCAGGGGGGGGGTCGATGCGACCCCCCCCCCTAAGGTTTTTCAAAGATAGCGTAAAAACGGCGGCGCGCAGCGCCGCCAAATTTGGCACAGCCTATGGGGCAACCTTTTTACATATGACCTGAAAATTTCAGGTCCGGGTGACCTTGGGTCAGGTCACCAGGTCAGAAAAACCGGTACAAGGTCATGGTCAAATTTCAATTTTCTTTATGCACCTGTCCAACTCACAGTTTTGGACCGATTTCCTTCAAACTTTCAGGATGTGCTAAGTTCACCAAGTTGTATAACATATATTCCGGTTTTTTGGATGTCACTGACCTGAGGTCAGTTAGAGGTCATTACGTCGTAATGTTAAGCCTATGGGAAAATATTCAATTCGGAAAATACTGGAGATATCCGCTTCGTTCTATCATTTTTGTGCTTTGAAACCTCAGTACTTAACATTATGTCACTTGGTGCTTCTTTGTTTGGTGTACTTATCCACGGGTCAGGTCAAATGAGGTCAACTGAGGTCAAATGACGTTTGTGCCAATAACTTGTCACACAATAAAGATACAGCTTTCAAAATGGTATCATTCTGTTCCTTTTGAAGAGCCGAGTCGAATGATATGCAACATTAAGCATTTCGACCATTCTTAAGACTTAAGTTGTACTTAAGATGTGCTTAACTTTTTAAGTACACTTAAGCAAACAAAAAAGTATATCATTCGACGCGCCTTGACGTGCTGAGTTCACTGGTACTTTTCTTTTTTCTCTATCTTAATTAGATCAAAAGTTATAAGCGAAAAACTTTTGACCTGTTTTTAGCGAAATTTTTACATTCATACCCCCCAAAACCCCCCTAAATATTGACCTAGAGCAACCAAATTTGCACAGGGGCGAGAACTCCAGGGGGCCCACCTACCTACCAAATTTGGTGTTTCTAGGTGCCATAGGAGCCAATCGCGAGGGGGGGGGTCGCATCGACCCCCCCCCTGCCAGGCCGTGTTATGAAAAATGCCCTGCCAGGGCGAGGGTTAAGGTGTCAATGGGGTGTAAATCGTGTTTTCAGTGTATGTGCTTGACACGCAAAACAAATGTCCTACCCTGAAGCGAATTGTTTACTTCCCTCTCTGTCTCGACATTGTTGACCAAGCACAGCAACACACCCAAGAAGACTAACCGCTATCGGACACTCAAAATTATACACTGTGTCGTGTAACTCCCGTCAGACACTGGCATTCACCCCGCTCACTTCACCCTTCTCTAAGACCACCTTTGACCGCGCTCTGACCGCCCTAATGGGGCCGATTGTCGCTAACCAGGCCGCATTTTGTCTCGGTGGAACCCCGGTGATTTTCTACCCGCGCTGTGACGGTAGCCGGTAATCTGCGACAAGTTCAATCTATTGTACTCTCGACTGTGATTATCTTTTGAATGTTTGGTGGTTTGGCTTCCACCTCGGGTCTGAGCGTGAATAGAGTAGAATGGCGCGCCCGGGCCCGGGACAAAACCGCTGACTTTGACGATGTGGTAAGAATAACACCTGCTGAAGTGAAATAACTCTTGTCGTTTACAAGGCGATTATAAATCCTCGCCACAAGCAAGGTTATTTCTCTGGTCTGAAGGTTACCAACACGTGGTCTTTCAGACTCCTACGCCACTCGATCCATTCTCTGTATTCTTCTTTCGCTTGTTTTTTTTTTCTTTCCTCGCTGGTCGTTTCTAGCCTCACTGCCTGTTCATTCACTTCCACTGAGCTTCCACTGGTCGTCCACGGGTAATTTCCACCATTATCCACAATATCTCCACCTCCTGAAGCCACGAGGTCCACCGTCTATCTTTCACTTTGTCCACCCAATGTCCTTTCAATATCCCGAACGAATGTCCATCCAATACACTTGTCTGTCGAGAATCCGCATCCGCAATTCCCTCCACGCGTTCTTCAAACACCACTCAACAGTCATTCATCAGTCATCTCGCTCGCCTTCCTCCACTGTTTGTCCACCCACCGTCCACATTTCCACCTCTGTCCACCTTTGTCCACCGGTCTTCCACCGGTCGCGGTCGTCTCTCCCGCCTCCTTTAGCTCACCGTTGTCCCTCCCTCCCCCTCCCCTCCCCCTGCGCGCAGAACCAATCCTCTGGAATGCTGCCCGCGTCTGTACCCTCGAATTTACTCCCAACTCGCCGCCTTCTCCCGCGGCTCTGGCTTTGAGACACAGCTCGTAGTGTTCAAAGTCGAGCCGGGGACGAGGCGTCGGGGATCTACAGAGCTGTTTTCGTGGACGGCGAGAGGCGCGTCGCCGCGGGGTTGCCTGTTTATTTGACCAGAGAACGAACCAGCACACCTGCTGGGTTACCTGTGCGGGACCGCAGTGTGGCTTCAGAGACATGGGAACAGACCGAGTGACCGGCGAGGGGCGTCGTAAAATGGTGGAGCTCAACTTCAAAGGTCCGGGGCTATTTGGGGAGGGGCTTGGCTTGGGACGTGGTACTATTTCTTGAGATAATAAATTGAGAAACATTGTGATGTTGTTTGTCCAGTTTGATTCGTTTTATTACAACCTTTCTGTGTAATTGCATTTTATGCTGGCAAACCTTAATATGAATCCCTGCAGTTGCCAACCTGACGGGTCAGTTACCGCTGAAAAAGGAAATAGTGCGTTTACCTGACCTGTGTAATCCGCGAGCAATTCTTGTGCTGCGTAGTTAATCACCGACTACCGGTCGCTCAAAATGCCCCCATGGGTAGCATTTCATTTCACACTAGCAGCCTGGAAGGCGATCCTTCGGCCTACTTTAGACAGCTATTGAAGGCCTCACAGGCCACCATCAGCAACCGATGCAATCAACACGGTCTGAGTACAGTAAATAGTGCAATATCCGGTCCAGGGGCGCTCACACAGGCGTGAGAGGGTCCAGTTTTCAACCGTGAGAGGGTCGTCACGCCGGAGAAATGGGCGCGTGGGAACTGCGGACAATGTCATGGGTTAGGCGTTTAGTCGCCGGCTTGGCTGTCTTAGAGTGGTGTGGTCTCTCTCTCTCTCTCTCTCTCTCTCTCTCTCTCTCTCTCTCTCTCTCTCTCTCTCTCTCTCTCTCTCTCTCTCGTTCTCTCCGTTCCTTCCTTCTCGACTGGTCGATTGATCTTTTTTTCGTATGTCTGGTGGCGGTTAGGGACATGTCGGTACAAGCAGCACAACGGTTTTCCCATTCTCGCCTTTGTGTCAAAACATCACAAAAGCCCAAGTGCTAACTGAAAGGTTTAGGACATTGGGCGGCAGTATATAATCATACTGTGAAACAACTATTTCAAATAACATGTTGCGAGTCACAAAATAGACACACTTGTCATATCGTTAGCCTCACATACCGTCTCTTTTCCCACTTCTCCCGCCATTCGTTTCGGATTTACCCCATGTTCTCCTCACCTATCACCCGCCTCTCTTCGCCCACTCGACGGGTAGACCTCAGTCACCCCTGGATGGGTGCCAATTTGGGGTGTATCGCGGCGCCCTTTCAAACCGCGCCGCCGCCCCAACCCTCCATTATTCTCCAGAAGGGGCTCGCTGGGGAGAAAACTCGGGAGGAACTCCTGACGGGACGGTGTCGGCTTAATTCTGCTCCGATCGATCTGGTGCGGGACCTCTGAATGGGATTATTGAGGCGTACGTTACCGACAGAGGGGGACGGGGCGGGGGAGGGGGTGGGGGGAATGAAACGGACCATCGGGAGAGGCAGGGACGGGGCTGGCCATGAACTGTTACAAATGAGACAACAAGGAAGGTGGCGATGGAAGCATTGGGGCTGACATTCTATTAGAAGTGGCGTATACTTGAAGTAAAAAGGCTTGAAGGAAGTGCAATGATGTAAATGGAACACCTGAACAGCAAGCATGTCAGCAAGTTTAGGCTTTTTGATATGGCATATAAAGTGGATCACAATCTGTCGAACTCAACGATTTGATACTAAAGCTTCCGGCTGTCGGCGCCAAAAACTGAGCTGACAGTCGCCTTCCAAGTTCCAAATTCCAGGAATATCTACCAACTAACCTCCCCTCCCCTTGCCCCCTTTCCCCTCGGCCACCCAAGACCGAGTGTCAGGCCACAAAAACCACCCCGAGAGCCCCCCCCCCCCCCGGTCCAGTTGGAACGAGGTCACGGCGCGCCGAATCCCCGCCGAAATAATGGCGGGCTTCGGTCGGCGAGGGGCGGACGTGCCGCGCGCAGGACATGATAAGTGGGAGGGGACTGGCGAATGAGTCTGGCCGCAGGATCGGGGGAACAGACACGGGCGGGGTCTGGTCAGTGGGGGGAGGGAGAGGAGAGAATGCTGGTTTGGTCTTTGTGTGGTGTTGTGTCGGGTGTGATATGGGGCTGATCTCATTTCAATGTTTTCATTTTATGATTTTAGCTGACTTATATTGTGGTATCCGAATACACACTGGCACACATCATGGTGTGATACGGCCTACATTTCGTCTATGGCTAGGCCTTCCAGTTTGCTTTATTTCTGACAACCTTCGCAGAGGACGGTGTTCATTATTCTTAAAAACTACTATGGACGTCAAACCCCTTGAGACCCCACTTTTTTGCGATAATTTTTAAATGCGTCAACTCTCGTTGACAATATTCTGGCAATGTGTGTTTCAGAACCTGCCGAAACTTTTATTACTAAGATATTTTGACGCCAAACGATTATGGAAGGTACTTCTCATTCACTCGTAATGTTAAATTTCACGGCACAAATCTGCTGTTTGGGTAGAGGCTACGCGCTCATGGGGCGGAGCCACGTAATGACGTCAGCGCTAAGCTCCGCCCTACCCCTCCGGCGCTCCTTGCCCGGCGACCGGTCACTCGCGCCTCTCGCTCCATTCAGGCTTGATGGTGGGCGGTAGCTGGTAGCGGTAGCGGGCGCTGGTAGATGGCATTTAGAGCAGATGGCGCTGGTGGCGGGGCTCGAGTGTGGCCGAGCGCAAGCCTCTGCCCGGGCCTGAATTGACCTTAGCATTACGAGTGAATGAGAAGTACCTTCCATAATCGTTTGGCGTCAAAATACCTTAGTAATAAAAGTTTCGGCAGGTTCTGAAACATACATTGCCAGAATATTGTCAACGAAAGTTGACGCATTTAAAAATTATCGCAAAAAAGTGGGGTCTCAAGGGGTTTGACGTTCATAGTAGGTCGGATTTCTGAATGTTGTCGCATATTAAGTGTGCCGTTACGTCATGTTTATGACAAGCAGCTGATCGTGGGAACATGCCGGTTCTATATATGGTTCATGAAGTTCGTGAGCGGTGCATTTTCTATCGCCTCAAGAATGAGGTGGAAACTGCGGAAGCTTTGCGCTGCCGGAATTGAAATATGTGATTCGGGGAATATTTACTGCACAGTGTACCTGACATCAGAATGAGGTGCGCTTGATGTGCTTCGTGGCTAGACACGTCACTGACAACATTAATCATGCTTTGTTTGATCTCACTCCCTCTTTTCTGACGTGATCGTTGCGCTTACATCCTTTTCACAAGTTTTAATGCAGTCGGACAATATGGATATGTGGGTGTACTGCACTCCGTTGTGTTACTGCTGTGTGTATTGTTGCAGTCTTCATATTGTGGTGCTACTGTCTTGTGTATTATTGCAGTTTCCATATTGTGGTGATACTGTCCTGTGTATTAATGCAGTCCCCACTCCGTGGTAATACTGTCTTGTGTATTACTGCAGTCGCCATGTGGTGGTACTCTTATGTGGGCTATTGAAGTCTCCATGCTTGGCTGCCACCGTCTTTTGTATGATTGCAGTTTCCATATCGTGGTGATACGATACTGTCCTGTGTTTTATTGCGGTCTCCATACCGTAGTGTTACTGTTGTGTTCACCATCGCAGTCTCCATGTGGTGACATTGCTGTCTTAAGTGTTGTTGAAGTCGCCAGGTCGTAGTGCTACTGTCCTATGTAACATTGCAGTCTCCATGCTGTTGTGTTACTATCTTATGTACTGTTGCAGTCTTCATATAATGGCGCTTCTGTTTTGTGTTCCTACTGTTGTATTCTATATGTCGTGGAGCTACTGTTGTATGTATTATTGCAGTCTCCATACCGTAATGTTATTCTCTTGTGTACTCATTGCAGTCTCCTTGCCTCGGTGCTACCCCAACCTCGAACTGCTCCGGTTGTTTCCAATTGAAAACACAATTCTGACGAATAGTGTTTGTCCATTTCAAACAAATGCGGTTACTTTTGTGTGTACTGTTGCAGTCTCCATGCCGTAGTGCTACTGTTGTGTGTACTGTTGCAGTCTCAATACCGTAGTGCTACTGTTGTGTGTATTACTGCAGTCTCCATGTCGTAATGTTATTCTCTTGTGTATCGTTACAGTCTCCATGTCTCGGTGTTTCTTTTGTGTACTCGTGCAATCTACCTTTTCCCGGCAGTTCTTTTACACCAATGCACGATGTCGTGGTACATTAGATGGGTCTTAACTCCTCAGTTTTTCCATCCTAACTCTTTGGAATGTTACCTACCGAGCTTGTTGGACGACCTGGTCTGACCTTGCCTGGCTTGAGCGTATTCCGTCTTCTAACCCGACCTGGCCAACGCCGGTCTTTGAGCTCTATTGTATTGTATTGATGACAGTACGGCGTAATGATTTACAATGCTAGGTTCCTCACAAAGACAATGCAATCATCGAGTATCAGCGATCTGATATATCGCGTTACCATTGTCATCAAAACTGTTCACAGCTCGTGTGTTGCTCGACACACGTTCACAGGAAGTGTTAACACTGGGTGATCTTATATTACAGCACCGGACAGTCACGATCTCAATAGCATTACCATATGCAGTTACATTGTTTGTTTGTTTGTTTGTTTTGTTGGGTTAGGCCCTTTCGGTCGACAAGACCATTGCAGAGCCGGAAGGATGATAGGAATTAGGGGGAGACATTGGTCTGGGCAGGCATCCTAGAGAGTCGCCGGGGCTGAGCCCGTCCATAGGACAGGCCGACCAGCCCCCCAAGCACTCTCTGCACCCGGCTACGGGGTGCAGCTCCCTCGGGAGCAGCGGTGCCGCTCCAAGGGAGCAGCCCGCATGAGATAAAGTTGCCTGTCCAGCCCGGAAGGGGGTTGTGGCGTGGAGGAGAAGGATTTCAGTATCCTGAGGATAGAAGCACGGATAGGTGTGCAGTTACATTGAAAGTACATTGATGACTATTGCTAAAAATCAATGCATGTTATGCCGCTCACAACTCACACACAAATTAGTTTGTCTCTATCACCCTCACACCGTCGTCCTCTACCGACAGATGCGGGAAGCGGCAAGTTGTCGCGGCTCTCGACAGGTGGCAGCAGCAGCGGCGGCGGTGCCGGCGGCGGCGGCGGCAGCAGCAGCGCGGCGGCCACCGCTCCTTCCCTCAGAGAGTTGGAGGACCTGACACACCTCGAGGGACCTCTCACCGAACATGCCGTCCTGCGGTGTCTCCACGCCCGCTTCCAGGACTGTCAGTTCTTTGTAAGTGAAGTCGAGGGCTGAGATAGAGTAGAGCGTCGTTGTACCGTATAGGTTCGATCTTTGTTGATTTTGCAGGCTAAAAGAGAACGTTGAAGCTTCCTTCTAAATTTCAATCTGCTACTCTAGTGAGGATTCATATAGACAATTTTTAATATGGAAAACAAAGAGATATAAAACAGTGAGGTCCACTATTCGTGTAGAACTGTACTCCTAAGTATCGATAGCTCACTTATTGCCTCTAGGAGATGCTTAGTGCACCGTTCCGTGCTTCTATCCTCAGGATACTGAAATCCTTCTCCTCTACGCCGCAACCCCCCTCTGGGCTGGACAGGCAACTTCATCTCATGCGGGCTGCTCCCTTGGAGCGGCACCGCTGCTCCCGAGGGAGCGCACCCCGTAGCCGGGTGCAGTGAGTGCCTTGGGGCTGGGTGGCCTGTTCTCTGGACGGGCTCAGCCCCGGTGACTCACTAGGGTGCCTGCCCAGACCAATGTCTCCCCCTATATCCTATCATCCTCCCGGCTCTGAAATGGTCCCATTGGACCGAAAGGGCTTAACCCAACAAAACAAAAACAAAAAGGCTAAAAGAGAACGTTGAAGCTTACTTCTAAATTTCAATCTGCGACTCTAGTGAGGATTCATGTAGACAATAATTTTTAGGTTTTTAATGTGAAAAACAGAGAAATATAAAACAGTGATGTCCAAGCTGTTCTTGTAGAAATGTAAATAAAGCTCACTTAGTGCCTTCAGGAGATGCTTAGTGAAGGTCCAGGCTTTTAACTTTCGTAGAACGTTACCGCCCTTCTCTGCCACTCCCCCAAACACATTCTCATTTGACGTCACTCCTTCTCTTACAGACGAACGTCGGGTCAATCCTCATCTCCCTCAACTCTTACAACGACCTCGGGAACCCGCTGACCCTGACGTCAACACGGGCGGTGGCCCAGGCCCCTCAGCTGCAGCGCGTGGTCAACGAGGCGGTCCGACAACAGAGCGAAACCGGATACCCGCAGGCCATCATACTCTCTGGTGAGTGGAGATTAGAGTTGGGAGGCTTGACTGAGGAGAAGGAGAGAAATAGAGGGAGTGTTCTTCATATCAAAACGATTTCTATATCTTTTGATAAATTGCCCTCATCATGAAAATTTGTATTTTATTTTTTATTTATTAATATTATTACATGGATTATATAGATTCGTATGCATCGTTACAACTAATCTTTTGGCAGAATACTGTCCTCATTATTTCCTGATTGTTAGCTGCATTTCTTTCCACGCTTTTGCGCTCAAGTAACCTACAAGTTCTCGACAAACCCCCGATTCCACATGACGTCACTCTGACGCCATCTCTGTCTCCGCCCTCAGGCTCCAGCGGCAGCGGCAAGACGTACGCCTCCATGCTGCTGCTGCGTCAGCTGTTTGATGTGGCCGGAGGCGGGCCAGAGACGGACGCGTTCAAACATTTAGCGGCCGCGTTCACCGTGCTCCGCTCGCTGGGTAGCGCCCGCACCACCTCCAACTCCGAGTCTAGTCGCATTGTGAGTGGTATTGATCGAGTTTCAGTGTTTTGGGTGCTTCAGCTTTGAGTCTATTCCAAAACCTGCAGTCTTTAATGTGGTTTGTGGTGTATGACGTCAGGTCTAGCTGCATTGTGTTATTTGAATGCGTATTATCACGCTAATTCTTTTTATAAAGCTTGTTTTTTACGATCACCTTCATTATTTCATAATGACTATTAAGATTCCCGCAATTCAAGCACTGCTCACATTCGATCAACCATTCATTCACCCACCTTTCCCAGACCTAACTATCGCTCTGTTTCGCCAGGGCCACTTTATCGAGGTTCAAGTCACTGACGGCGCTCTCTATCGTACAAAAATCCATTGCTACTTCCTGGACCAGACGCGCGTGGTGCGTCCGCTGCCCCGGGAGAAAAACTACCACATCTTCTACCAGATGCTGGCCGGACTGAGCCCCGAAGAGAGAGGTATGAACATGCTATTTCTTCATTGTACTTTTTCACTATATGTAGTTTTGTGTGGCCTCCTCAAGATTAGCATTTGGTTTCCCTACCGTTATCCGGTGAAAACAATTGCTTCAAAACAGTTTGGTCTTGTCAGGTTGTTTGTTTTAACGTTAATGTTTAAGCGTTACTAAGTAATTTAAGGAAAAGAAAAGATGCAATGCAAGCTTAACATGTATCATGTCACGGCAAAGTTGTCTATCGGGTCGGGTCACTGGGTTGGTATTGACTTCGAATCATGAATTTCCCCAAACAACACTGCCATCGCCTATTTTATACACCAACCCGCTGGCAGCTGTCGCTGCTCGCCCTAACTCTGTTCTTTTTCTCCACAGTGCGCCTGCACCTGGACGGCTACTCGGTGTCCTCTCTGCGCTACCTGCACCAGGGCGAGGTGCGCCAGGACGTTCAGGAGGACGCGCGCCGCTTCCAGGCCTGGAAGGCGTGTCTGGGCGTGCTCGGTATTCCGTTCCTGGACGTGGTCAGGGTGCTGGCCTCGGTGCTTCTCCTGGGAAATGTGACCTTTGTCGACCGACCCGGCACGGAGGTGAGGAACTGAAAGAGTTTAGGGGCAGGCTGAGTGATTCAGATGGGAATGGTATTTTATTTTTAACAGTGACGGTTAAAGAATGCTTTACAGCTCAATAATCGTAAATATCAGTACCATGAACACATGAACAGTGTTTGAAGACGCAAAGTACTCGCATATTGTGCCGCTTCATAGCGTCCATGGTGCTGGATCTTCATATCTGGCACATGCCTGCTGGGAAATCTCACCCGAAAATTGTATTCCTGTTACCGATGCGGCTGAATATTCTCTCACTTTCCCTTGCGAACTTCTTTTTTAATCTTTTATCTTGATAAATTTAATCTTAATCTTTTCACCTTGTGTAGAAATGCGAATTCCCGCTGGCATCCCGCGCTAAGTCATCCCGTGTCCCCTTATCTGACCTCAATCTCCCCTCCTAAGTACAGATGCAGCTTCTCTCAGTCATTCCCACATCTCCTGACTGGACCACCCTCCCCTCTTCGTCAGGTGGAGATGCAGAGTCCCCAGGAGCTGCAGTCGGTGGCCGCCCTGCTCGGGTTCAGCCCGGCCGCCCTACAGAGGGGTCTGACATCACGGACTCACAATGTCAGAGGACAGCTGGTGCGATCCCTGAGTGATGGCAACATGGCCAGGTGCGTACCTACTCGAGTCAGAGCTTGCTGGCGAATGGTAGTTCATTGTTGGATGGGAAGTCGGTTTGTAGGCTTAATGTGTGGCCTCTTCAGAGGACAACAATGCTTGAAAACATATATGCTTTGTTCAACTGCATTTGTTGCTATGTGTTCATATGTCGGTGTTGATTGGCACACCTGGGTATAGGTATATGAGAGAGCTATTGAGCAAGTACGCATCAAAATCTCGCTTTCAATTAGTCGCTACAATGATTAACACGCACTTGCGAAAATGAGTAAATGTCCGTCAATGGTCCGTTGCCATTCATTAAAATTGATTCGTGATCGTTCCCTCCGATAGCCGATTATGACTATATCGTCTTTCCTCAGCATGACTCGCGACTCGCTGGCCAAGGCTCTCTACTGCCGCACCGTTGCCACGATCGTCCGGCGCGCCAACTCTCTGAAGCGGATCGGCTCGGCGTCCGGCACCCTGAGCTCCTCCGACGACTCGCACGTACACTTTGACGCTCAGTCGGCGCACGCTTCCACCGTCGGCACTGCCGGCAGCCGCGCCAGCAAGAGCATGAGCGTACTGAACTCGGCGGTCAGACATGCTACAGATGGATTCATCGGGATTCTGGACATGTTTGGATTTGAGGATCCCAAGGTGAGTGGGTTTGTTGTTTTGGATCGTATGGTTTGCTGGTCAGTCGGTTAGGATCCCTCTGTGATTGTAATGCTGGTCAGGAATTCATTGTTAGTTTGTAATCCGATTTAGGTGTCTGTAGCTTAATCAAATGGTTAATGTCATATTGTTCTTGGGACACACGTGTTTGTTTCATCGCATCGAATAATTATTGTCGAATTTTGTCGAAATATTGTCGAATTATTGTCGAATAATTATGTGCATCGAATAATTATTAGCTGAAAACCCACATCCGATGGTAGCTAACCTTTTCATTTCAACTTTTACTCAGATCCAATTGTTTACGCTCTCCCCCATTCCACAGCCCTCGCATCTGGAGCACCTGTGTATCAACCTGTGCTCGGAGACTATGCAGCATTTCTACAACACACACATCTTCAAATCGAGCCTGGAGTCGTGTCGGGAGGAGGGTATTGTCTGCGAGGTCGGGGTCGAGTACGTCGACAACGTGCCCTGTATCGACCTCATCAGCTCGCTGGTAAGGCAGGAGGAGGGGGAAGGTCGAACTGCTGATGTGTCTTTTTTCTTCGTCCGTTGGCGTTTTGAATCGCTTATAGTACGATTACGATTGTATGTTTGATAAAAGCTTAAAGGTGAACTCATGAGTTAATTGTCCATTCCCAGAACCCTGTCAGTATGCTGGGAAATTACACTACATAGAAATTAGCAGTCCTATGAATACAATAATTATGACTCCACGCGTGCACAACTAGCATAGTGCTAGTTGAGACCAAATACTGACTGAATATTCTTTTGATCTAATCTATTCCACTTTCCATATCATGACTACAAGCTGACTTGCCCTATTCTCTCAGCGCACGGGTCTCCTCTCCATGCTGGACATCGAGTGCTCGGTTCGCGGCTCGCCCGAGTCGTACGTGCAGAAGGTGCGTGTTGCGCACAAGAACAACCCGCGTCTTCTGGACCCCAGCCCGGGCCAGACAGGCGGGTTCAGCGTACAGCACTACGCCGGCCGCGTGGCCTACACGGCGGCAGACTTCCTCGGTAGGTGGAATTATAGATGGGTGGGAGCGGTAGTTTGAGGGACTTTGGCTTGTAACGTTTGGAGTAACTGTATTAAAAGGGAGAAATTGTGGCACATATTTTGTTCGATGTAGGTTACTGCTGTCGTACTTATGACAGTCGTGATAGACACACAAGGAATGAAAGAGATTTGAGATGAATAAAAGGAATGACTAAATGATTGAACGAAGAAACGAGCGTACGGAGAAACGAACGAACAAACGGATGAACGGACGAATGAATGAATGAACAAATATATGAAAAACGAATTAATTAGTAAATCGATAAGTAGATAGATCGATGTATAAAAGAATTTACCGATTTTCAGTCACAGTTCGTATATTAGTTATCTCCTCTCATTTCCCTTGCACGACCCTAATCTCCTCCTCCCCCCGCCTCCCCCTCCCACAGATACCAACCGCGACTGCGTGCCGGACGATCTGGTCTCCGTCTTCCACAAGCAGAACTGCAGCTTCGGCTTCGCCAGCCACCTGTTCGGCTCGGAGCTGAAGGCTCTCTACAGTCAGGATACAGTGCCGCGGGGAGTCAGCTTCCGGATCAGCCCTACGAGTCACACTGATCTGTGAGTACGCAATGTTGTGTATGTTTTGTGTTGGCCTGTGAGTGCCACATGTGAGCTGTGAGTGCCACATGTGAGATGTGAGTGGCTCAGTGAGCTGTGGCTTCATGGTTAAATGTAAGGTTTAGATTTGTCTGTGAACTGAGGCTAGCGATTTTCCTGTCTATTTCTTTAATTAGGGAAATGTTATTTACAAATTTTATGCGCGCTCTTCGCGATGGTCTTTACAACACAACAACGTAACATAACGCCCCCCCCCCTCGGCCGGCGAGGGCTAAGGGTCTAACATACGGAAGGCTAAAAAGCCGTATCCATCACCTTACCTTACCTTACCTTAGTTGGTCATCGGGTTAAAAGGCCACTTGGCCTATTGGTCCCGCTCGTATCGAGTAAAAGGCATTATCGGAAAGGTTGTGGACCTTAGTAAAGTATCACCATCATACCATGCAGCTCAATTAAAACAATTTCCCAAATCTACCCAACTAATTACTACATATAAAAATACACGGCCGGTGGCTCGACCCACGTCTATAATAGTCACCTACGTTTATAGTCACCTAGTCTCGCGAGAGGAGCCTGCGCTCGGCACATGCTCGGCTCCTGTCCAGTCACACCGGCCGGCGCACAGTCTGCCTCAACAATGAAGGGGTTTGGGCGCGATTACGCATCCATGCTGCTGCTATCGGGTTTCAATTATCGCCTCGTGAATTTTTGTTTGTGTGTTTCGTGTTTTTGCTTACAGTAAATGTCATAAAAAATACAAGTTTATATACACCAAATGAAATGCATCCGTGAATTGAATTTGTTAAAAACAGACAGATGTCGCGAAAACCTGTTCTCATTAACCGATAAATCATGGATGTGCTCCTGAAGGAGACAGAGAGAGAGAGAGAGAAAAAAAAACGTTCCCAAATTTACCCGACCTTGGCAGCTTGTGGACGGATTTTCATTTCCGTATTTTTAAGGGAGTAGCGGTAACCTCTCCACGCTTCCCATACTACTCCTCTCCAATTGCTATCATTATTCTCTCCTGACAGATGGACGCCATTCAAGTTTACATAATGGCAGGAGCCAAACCACCAGCCACTCTCACGGAGTTGCGCGCAGTTTTTACCAGAATACTTGTCCTGATCCTTGTCCCTGGTGGAGAACTTCTGTCCGAAGTGATATTTCATGCTGTCTCCAGAGTTTCCTGTGTATTTCCCACCAGTTATACGATATCCGTCAAACTCTGACGAAATTCTAAAGTTCTCATACCTGGCGTATCTCTTCTCTCCGTCAAAATCCCCCAGATCGACGCGCAGCTCGTATCTCCTGCCCGGCGTCCCAGTGAGCAGCCACAGCTTCTCTAGCCCCCACCAGAACTCTCCTGTGAGGTCTCCGAATCCGTCCTTATACTCGGTCCAGTTGCGATAGAAGTCTTCCCTGGGCAGAATGTCTTCGCGTCGCTGAAACACGGTCCAACCGCCGCCGTCCGTCTCCATATCGCAGAATGCCTCCACCGGGTTCGTGCGGCCATGCCCGAGACGCAGAGTGTAAACCCCGCTGGGGGAGCCGCTAGGCAGTTCGCTGCAGTCGCGTGGCCCGGTGGTCGCGTTCTGCTGTATCTCTGCCAGCTTTTCCAGTCGTGTGCCAAACGAGTCCAGCTGGGTGGTAACCGAGTCCAATCCGGTGGTAATCGAGTCCAGCCCGGTGGTAAACGAGTCCAGCCGGGTGGTAACCGAGTCCAGCCCGGTGGTAACCGAGTCCAGCGCAGTGTCGAGCTCAGACTGCAGATGTCTGAGACTGCTGTTGGATGAAGTAAACTGAGAGCCGAGCTCCGCCTGCATGGAGTCGAGTTGAGACGTGACTGGCTGAAGCTGAGATTCCAATGTCTTCTGAGTAGAATCAAGCCGGGCATTGACAGACAGACTTTGAGACTCCAGAGCATCTTGCATGGAATCAAGCCGGGCAGTGACGAGCTGAAATTGAGACTCTATGGCCTCCTGGATGGAATCAAGCCGTGCATTAGTTGACTTAGTTTGAGAGTCAAACATAGCTTGAACAGCATCAAGTCGAGCACTGGCCGATTCCGCCTGAGCGTCCTGGCTGCTCAGCCTGCCCAAGATGTCGCTCAGCAGCTCGCGTTGGCTGCGGAGCTCGGCGGAGATGGGGTCCACAGCCTCTCTCACCGCACGGTTGACGAGCGCCAGCAGATCATCCAGCGCGTCGTTGGTGCCAGTACCGGCGTCGTTGGCTAGCGCGCACGGGAAGACGGCGCAGAGCAGCGCCAGCAGGCAGACGGAGCTGCCGAGGGGTCGGGCGGCCATGCTGCACTGGATAGCCCGGCAGTAGGCGGGCCGGGGTGCACCGTCCGCCTCCGAGCCGGGGAGCTAACTGCTGACCGGCGGCTGGACCCGGTCGGAGAACACCTCTCCCTGGCCTCCCGGTATGTGTTGTTTAATGTTCGGCCCTGGCATGCAGAGGGGTGGCTCCGTGGGCGGCCTGCTCTCGATTTGTTTACATTCCAAACGGCTGCAGCACGGCAAAAATACCAGATGTTGCGGTAAACAACTGGCCAGGCCAGCTTGTTGAGCGTCATAAAAACTGTTTTATTCATATCACACATGTTTTTTATTGATGGAAAACAGCCCGCAGCCGGCAAACTCGATAAGGCTAAAATCTTCAAATACCTACACTCCCGGTAGATGTGCTTTGTACCTTGCCTATCCGTGCTTCAATATCTTACAGAAATGCCCTCGGACGTATAAAAAGTTATAGAAAGCTATGTATAGGTACAGACACATGCGTCAATAGCTGTTGCGCTTTAATCCTGTTCTTTTTAGTTTTACCGATTTTAGCGGTTAGGACACTCTTTTTGTTTTGTTTTGTTGGGTTAGGCCCTTTCGGTCCAATGGGACCATTTCAGAGCCGGAAGGATGATAGGAATTAGGGGGTGACATTGGTCTGGGCAGGCACCCTAGAGAGTCGCCGGGGCTGAGCCCGTCCGAAAGGACAGGCCGACCAGCCCCCCAAGCACTCTCTGCACCCGGCTACGGGGTGCGCTCCCTCGGGAGCAGCGGTGCCGCTCCAAGGGAGCAGCTCGCATGAGATAAAGGTGCCTGTCCAGCCCGGAGTGGGGGTTGCGGCGTGGAGGAGGATTTCTGTATCCTGAGGATGGAAGCGATGGAACGGAGTAGGACACTCTTATTTTCGTCAGCTTCTTGCTGTTGTCGATGCTATATCTCACTTTGTGCTCTCACTTGCTAGTTTATCGTTTAAATGTTACTTTTTCGTCTTGATAGTTCACTTCGACACACATACAAAAAGCCCCTATGTTTTACAGAGTTTATAATTCAGTCTCGACACGTACTTTGCTGTGGTTTTGTGTTAGCGAATCCCACCCAGCCGTCTTTATTTCTCCAAAAGTAAACCTCTCTTACATCTTCCATTCACAGCCAAAACGGAGACGAGCCAGTATCGACCCTCACCCAGGACTTCCACACGCGTCTGGATAACCTCCTGCGGACTCTGGTGCACGCCAAGCCTCACTTCGTCCGCTGCGTGAAAGCAAACGACTCGGAGCAGCCACTGATGTTTGAGCGGATCACCGTGATGAGACAGATCAGGTCGCTGCAGCTGCTGGAGACGGTCAACCTGATGGCTGCTGGTGAGGAAGGGGGAGGTGGCGGCGTGAGGAAGGGATACTTGACTACTGGGATGTCAGATAGCGACAATTAAAAAAAAGGAATGTAGTCGAATGCAGAGGCTACACGCTTCCAATGAGAGTAAGTTTTCTAAAATCATCCTATCGTATTGCAGTCGTAGTGTATCACATGCTTTTAACGTTATCCTAATAATAAATTAACTGCAACCCCCATCTGTTGTGGCCTCGATTGCCAGGGAAAACACCTCAAAGTCCTTCAACTCTTTAGCTGTCATCTAAACACGAACGTCGCTCTCCCGCAGGCTACCCGCACCGGATGAGGTTCAAGGCGTTCAACAGCCGCTACCGCCTGCTGGCGCCGTCCAAACTCCTTCGGCGAACTGAAGACAAGGCAGTGGACGACTGTCGCACCATCCTGGACAGCTTCAGCGCGACGCTGCTGCCATCTGTTGAGCGACAGGAGAACGTCAGCACCGGCTGGGCGCTCGGGAAACGGCACATCTTCCTGACGTGAGTAGATATGGGGCGAAGCTGATGCTTTTTTCTGCACCGTTCCGTGCATCTATCCTCAGGAAACTGAAATCCTCCTCCTCCACGCCGCAACCCCCCCTCCGGGCTGGACAGGCAACTTTAGCTCATGCGGGCTGCTCCCTTGGAGCGGCACCGCTGCTCCCCAGGGAGCGCACCCCGTAGCCGGGTGCAGTGAGTACCTTGGGGCTGGTCGGCCTGTCCTTCGGGATGGGCTCAGCCCCGGTGACTCACTAGGGTACCTGCCCAGACCAATGTCTCCCCCCTAATTCCTATCATCCTTCAGGCTCTGAAATGGTCTAATTGGACCGAAAGGGCCTAACCCAACAAAACAAAACAAAATGCTATTTTCTGTCTTGCCGATATAATACGGTAAATTTTTATTTTTGATGTTGTTTCAGGTAACTATAGTATACTAATGCCCTTGAAACATTATCGCAAAAGTCTATGCTTAAAATGAACGACCCTCTTTTCGTTTCGTGATTTCATGATGTGAACGTGGGCATCACGCCGCCTTTCTTCTCGCAGGGAGGGTGCGAGGCAGCAGCTGGAGCGGCGCCGTGAACAGAAACGGAACGCGGCCGCCGTGCTGGTGCAGAGCACGTGGCGGGGGTGGCACGTGCGCCGCCGGTGGCCGCAGATGCGCCGAAACATGGAGCACCGCCAGAGGAACAAGTCGGGACCGCCGCGGCCCCGGCCGCAGCCCATCGCTGGTGAGTGAGGAAACGATGGAGCCTTGAATGGGTGAGGAGTGGGCTGGGGCGGGCATAGAAGGGCAGAGAAGATGAGTCAAGCCTTCTTGTGCTGTACTTGAAAATGTTATTGTTTAGCTGGGACATGGTTGAATGCTGAGAGATAACCGTAAACGAAGAGCTGGAAGTACGGGTATCTCTATCAGCACTTGTTGTGCTTTGTTATCAGTGCCTCATCGGAGGCTAATGATGGCGTATCGAGAAGTGAGTACGACAACACGGTATGACAATGCAGGCATCACGCGTTTACCGTATCAAACCTGTTTATAGCTCGGCGATTGAATGATCGAGCTTCGACAAAATGATATCGAAATGCAAAAATGCCTTGTATTTCAGCAACAAATAAATTGTTATCATCTTCACCTCATCCACATTTCGTTTGCACGGACGCATACGAATAAGATGTGTCTTTTTATCTTGTGGCGTTCTGTCACTAGTTATATACACTACGGAACGTTTGATTTATTAACCCTCCCTCTCTCCCCACAGGCACGCCACCTCCCGAAGCCCTGGAGCGCTGCGACCAGCGCACCATTCAGCAGACGTGCTCCCTGTTCGGGCTGGATTTGGAGAGGCCGCCGCCGCTGCCCCGGGCGCGCTCCTACACCGTGGCCGGCAACAAGAAGATGGGCTACCCGCAGGGACGCATCATGAAGATGACCTATCCTGGTGAGTCCTAAAGGGGCAGTGGGGTATGGGGAGACGACAAGGGGAGGGTCGATTTGGGGATCGAACAGTGATTGTTGATGTTTGTTTTGGCATAAAATATTTCATACTGTTCGTAGGTATGCTTTTTTGGCTATGAATGTTTGATGCCGATTACAAAAAAAAAAATGAAGTAAGGTTTGGTTTCTAGCAAAGGTAAGAAACATCCTGGTTAAACTGTGGGGCGAATGTAGACTAGCAAAGTAACAAACAAGTTAAACCGTGTAGTTTCTGAATGCCAGCTAACAAACTAGTTAAACCGTGTACTGTGTAGTTAGTCTAAACCAGCCACTAGGCAGTAACATTAGCCCACTGTTTACCACCTTCTAACCAGTTTTGCCACCTTTCCCTCAGAGGGCGGAGGCGAGGTGACGCTTCTGAAGGGTGAGAAGGTACTGGTGGTGGGAGCGGCCACCCGGCGCGGTCACCTGCTGGTACAACATCCGTCCGGTACCATCGCCGTACCGTACCAGTACATGGAGCTGAAACCGCTCCCGGCGCCCACCTGAGTACACCGTGCGGAAGGCGACCCCACGCGTCGGGTCTCTGGTGTATCCCCCGGTTTTCGGTCCGCGTGTGCGTTCGTGGCTCGTTCCCGATTTGTGCTTTTGTTGTGTGTTGTTTTGATGTGCTCCAAGGCATGGCTAAGTACGCAGGAACGTGGTGAAGCTAGGCCAACGGGTGGTTTGAGCCTGACTTCGCCTCGTAGAACGCAAGGCTTTGATGGACGCCAGTAGAATCACAACACGACGTGAATTAGGGGTGTTTGGTCATGGCGAGTCAATAATACTCAGAGTGGAGCAGAGATGATGCCACGACAAATATCACGAATCCGTTCCAACTGTGCCAAATCGATTGTTGATCCGCAGTCGCCATGATATCTAGAAGCGATCCGTTATATCGATTAGCACACCAACCGACTCGCAGTTCTCTCAAGGTGCCAAGGTAGCTCACACGAAGCTCTGGCACGACGTTAGTCACCAATGGCCGCCCGTAGCCGGCTGGTGCTCGCGTCACCAATCGGACCTCACTATTCTCCGGTATTTGTGCTCCCGTTTGTGTGTGTGGCTGCTGTGTGTACTGTTTGAGTGTTCCATGTATTTCACTGGGAATGCATTTAGCCTGAGGTTTTGCTCAAGAGTGAATGTAAATATTGTTCTGTCGTAATGTATTCGGTGAGCATTATTTGTGTGTTAAATATTTTCTAGCGTCACCGGCTTGGTGTTACGTATCTATGGTGTAGTATTGCCGGTCTTTGTCCGTCTTTAAGCTGGACAGGAAAACGCTCCTGCCTGTCATCCGTCCCAAGCATACAACGTACATTGTTCCTCAATGCAAGTGTCGATTGCAATGAAATATTGCTCCAGTCGTTAATAAAAATTGACAAATCAATTGAGTGTTTTTCTTTCATATCGTTCGCAATTTTATATCACCGTTCGTTCGAAACTACTCAACTCATGCCATAAATTATCAGAACTTAAAAAGACACTACTTCGATTAACTATCAATGTCTAGGACAGCAGCAAACTTTTACAAATTCACAGCACCTTTCGGATTGATCAAAGCAATTAACTTCATGTAATCTACTTTTGGACGGGAAACAAGCAGCATTTGACGCATGCACCGTTTTGAAATGACCAGCGGTACAGAATAATCACTCTGTAATCGCTCACTGGTTCTACCACAGCTAAATGTGCATGCTTATTCAGTAAGCTAACCCAAACACTAATTAAACCAACATCGTATAAACCATTCGCAAGTTGGTAGCAATGCGAGCACATTTGGCATACCTTCAGTGATGTCCCCTTTGCTGTCAGAAATCGAGCCAAGCTGTTACACTTCCATAGTTGAACATGCCTGGCCTTTGGAATCTATCCAAACGTCTTTGCGGCTTGAAAACGCCTTGGAAATACCAGGCATTCAAGCCAAAACAATTGAGCCAGATGTAACATGCCACAACTTTTTCACTCCGCCTTCGTCCTTTCTTCAACCAGCAGCTTTTTCAACAGTTTGGCTCCTGTCCCGATCTGGTAGAGCGAGTCGTTGACTCGAGTCAGCATCTCGGGCCGACTTATAGCCGGCGACGCGGGACAGGAGCGCTCTTCTTTTACATCTTGCGCGCGATTAAACGCCTTATTGATCCGTTTCAAGCTATTGTTCACACTCACACTAATGTCCTGAAGCTCTTGCATTGTTTTTCCGATGCCGTCGTCCTCGATGCTATCCTCTGGAGTCGCATCTTCGCTGCCTGGAAGTCTCCTCGACGAGCAGTATCTTTCTCGTCGTTCAGCTAAAGGGTCATCCCTGCGTCTTCCACGGTCGCAAGGCTCGTAGTTTTCTCGCGATCCCGTGCGTGCTGCGTCTCTCGACTTGTGACCTTGCCAGTTGGTCATGAGATCTCGATATCGCTCTTCGGGGCTCCTTTTCATCGATCTTTGGCAGTCTCGATCGTCACCACCACGTCTCCTTGAGGCATTATTTTCTGAAGCAGACCTTTTCGGCATTCGAGCAAGAGCTGGTGCTATCAAGCTCTCAAACTCTTTGCATTTCTTATATGGCCTAAGTAGTTGGGGCTTCATCCCTTCTTCGAAGTCCATAACCTGTGCTAGGACGTTTGCCAGTTCTTCGTTCATAGTTCGTTCCACCTGATGAAGCCCTTTTTCTAAACTTCGGAAAGTCATGTCCATGCGACCTTTGACAGTTTTCAAAATCTGATGAAAATCTGGGGATCCTTGGCGCTTAGATGGCTGGTCTCGTCGACTCGTTCCATTGCGCTGTATTTGGCTGTTTCTTCCAGCACAAGGTCTGTCACCTTTACCGTTATCTCTTCTACTTTTGTCAGGCTTCACATTTTTATTACCGTTTCTGTAATCCATGCCTGGTTGTTGACGCGTTGTTCGTTCGTCTTGCATCGAATTGCTCTGTATTGATCCAGAGACGCGATTTTGATCCCGATCCCCACCCCGTCGTTTCGGAAAATCGTCAACTATCATTCAATTTTCGGGCATACTCGAAATTTATGTACCTTGACATAAGTAGGTTAAATATAATAAATGCATTTTTATTCACCTATGAAACTTCTGACGCTTCCGACGCTGTTGCGCCATTCATATTTTTTTTTTTCTGAACGTAAAATGACTCAACTAATTTCGTGACTGAGTGAGACCGAAACTTCCGTTTTGTTGAGGTCAAAATTTTTGTTGCAATATATGCATCTGCTGAATGGAGCAACATAACTCCATACAGCGCGAGATCAGCTCAAGACTTATTGTTGACATTTCAAAGTGTACATCAGCAGCAACTTTTGGGAGCTGTTGAAAAATATTTTTGATAAAAGCACGATAGGTGTTATATTTATTTCTAAATTTCAGCAGTTATAAATTTTCCGTACGTCTCCTATTCTCCTACATGAGTTGGTAAATAATGGGATCAAGAGGCCGACGTGGCGATCCATCTGACCGCTGGAGCAACGAATATATTGACCCGGAAACAGGTGAGGGTCGCATCGGAACGGTTTCGGTGCAATATGATATAGTGTCATAGTTAGTCGGTATTTATCAATATTTTGGTACTATTTTAAACGTAACGTAATGTAAGAACCATTTAAGCGAATAGGCGTTGCGCTTCAATTAAGGCAACCATTCAAGTTTAACTAATTTATTGCTCACTTGAAGGTAGCAAAACATGCATAAAATGTAAAACGTCTAGAAATGTAGAGAGCGCCTATAAATACTGAGACGATTGTATTATACTGCATCATTTTTATCGAGCTAATGTAACGTTTAAAAATTAAACTACAGTTAAAATGCATCACACAGTAACGCGGAGTCTTTTAAACTTCAACGCTCGCAAACAATACCAACAAAGCTGACAATACAGCCTGCAGATCATACGTACCTCTCTGTGCCTTCCAGGTGAGCTCGTCAGGGAGGAGTACGACCGTCGTGTGGAGGACGTTTGCGGTGAGAAGTACGAGTACGAGCGCGCCATCGTAACCCGGGAGCAGGCCGACGACATGTCCTCGCGGCGGCGCGGCGGGGGCGGAGGGAGTATGCGCGGCTGCGGTCGCTCGCGGGACCCGTGCTCTCGCGGTGGTGGAGGTCGAACCAGAAGCCGCGTTTCTGACGACATGGACTGCGGCGGCGGCGGCGGCGGCGGCCGCGGGGGGTACCGCAGCATGGTGCAGCCGCGGCCGCCCTTCCGCGACCCCTGCCGAAAGGAGGGTGACCCACCGAACCCAAACACTGACGAAGCGCTGGCCAAGGTGGAGGAAAAGTTCAACAACCTCGAGAAACAGCTGAAGGAGTCGTGTGATAACCTCAACAGCGGACTCTGCAAGGTGCAAGCGTGCATGACTGACGGCTTTTCACAGGTGAATAGCAAAATGAAGGAGATTGAAAAGAACACCGATAAGACATTACAAAACATCGACGATCAGATACGTTCTGCTGAAGAAGAGCTCAACAAGAGCCTGAGACTGCTGAGCAATGACATCGCTGAAACGCAAGAAACTTTTTGCAGAAATCTCGACAAGGCAAAGAGAGACGTAGATAAAATGGAAAAGTTTTTCAAGAGAGAAATATGTGAAACCATTAGGGATCTCAAGACGAATAACTGTTGATGACTTTTGTTTTCGTTTTGCGTCCAGACGACTCCCATCTTGTTTCACGTTTTTATTTGAAATTGCTCATCTGCGAAATGACTAGACTTTTTTGTTGACAATAGTATAGTATGGTTTGTAATAAATGCATGTAAAACAACAGTCTGACTCCGTTCTTAAACGGCGTTTTATGTAAAAAGAGAAGGCATGGGAATGCAATATAATTATGATAAAGATACTGCCCTCTCCTGCTCTGAAGCATCAATCTCCTACGTTTCTTTTTTATCGTATTAATAAATTCAGCATCTATATATCGCTAAACGAACGGATAGCTAAGCTAGGATCCGAAGGTGATCCGAAGGTGATGGTGGGTATTTTATTGCGTTTTTATCCCTTTTTAAAATGAATTCAAAAGTTTAGGCCATAAATGCACTATTAGGTATAGTATGTCACTAAGATCCGAACTCGCGCTACAAGAGAAATTAATGCAAAATCACTATCCTTACCACTCGATCATGAAGTTCCAAAAGACGGCATAATCTATACGCGATCTGACATATCTGCTTATTCATTTACTGAAACCAGCACATTCTGTGTCTTATTACGTTATGTTCTTTTCGCTCGTGCCGAGACGTGCCGCCATTCTTAGATTGCCTGGGCGCGCCCATGCGCCGACCCAGCTAACTTGACCGGAAGCGGGGTCGGCTGCGCAGCCCTTCTCAGTGACCCACGCGGGTGGGGCAGTGACTTGAGTTTGTTGTGCTGGTGCGGTGTAGGGGCAGAGTGCAGTGTTGGTGCGTGCGTATAGAAATAAGAACGTGTGAATTGAACTTAGTAGACTGACAACCTAGTAGAATTGGTGGACAAACAGACATAAATACAGTAGACATACAGTGTGACCTGTCAGAGTGACCCACCTGTCAGACTCGAGCCGAGAGCGTCCGCACGTTCCGAGTGAGGGCTCAGTGGAGTGAGGGCTAGCGTTCAGTGATCAGTGTTCAGTGGTCAGTGGTCAGTAGTCAATGGTGAGTGGTCATTGGTCAGTGCTGTAAGGTGGCCGACGTAGTGAAGAAATCGCCGACGCTACGGGATCTACCGAGTGACCGTGACTTTCTACGATCATCTGCTGCACCTGACATCCGCTTGGACCCACGAAGGTAAGTCCTCGCAGCTGATTGCATTTGTAAAATTGGTGCCCTCTTTTTATCCCTCGCCATGGCAGGGGGGGTCGATGCGACCCCCCCCCCCATAAGGTTTTTGGAAGATAGCGTAAAAACGGTGGCGTGCAGCGCCGCCAAATTTAGCACAGCCTATGGGGCAACCTTTTTACATATGACCTGAAAATTTCAGGTCCGTGTGACCTTGGGTCAGGTCACCAGGTCAGAAAAAACGGTACGAGTTCATGGTCAAATTTCAATTTTCTTTTTGCACCTGTCCAACTCGCAGTTTTGGACTGAGATCCTTCAAACTTTCAGGATGTGCTTAGTTCACCGAGTTGTATAACATATATTTCGGGTTTTTTGAGGTCACTGACCTGAGGTTAGTTAGAGGTCATTACGTCGTAATGTTAAGCCTATGGGAAAAATACTGGAGATATCCGCTTCGTTCTATCACTTTTGTGCTTTGAAACCACAATACCTAACAGCAAGTCACTTGGTGCTTCTTTGTTTGGTGTACTTATCCATGGGTCAGGTCAAATGAGGTCAACTGAGGTCAAATGACGTTTTTGCCAATAACTTGGCACATAATGACACTAGAGTTTAAAAAATGGTGTCATTGTGTTCCTGGTGATCAGCCAAATCGAATGATATGCGATATAATGCAATTTGGTTAACTTTAACTTAATTAATTAATTAAAGTTTACTTAAAAATTAAGAAAAACTTAATTAAGTACACTTAAAGGGACTATCCCACCTTTAACATGCTATGCTATGCCACCCTACCGCGTTAGGGTGGCATAGCAGCTATTTCAGGTGATTAAGCAGACGATATCTCGAAAAGTAGCAGTAATAGGCAATAATCGTCAATAGGGCATGGCAGACAATTGACTAGTTGTTTGCATGACATGCTCATCTTTAGCGGCTCGAAATAATATTTCTCAAAAAGTCTAACTAAAGAGCAAGTTGTTGTTGATTATCATTGACTTGTGTTTGGGGGTTCATAATGACTTAATTATTGATTTTGGCCCAAAATTTTTGACAGCATTGTGTGCGTTGATCAATTCTGAGCTGAGGGACATATATTTTATTCAGATTATAAACATTCGTTTTTCATAAATTTCAGCGCTTTAAAGAGCGCCGGGCCGTCAGTAGAGCGGCGAGGTGACAATTGCCCCTACATCATGTGGTTTAAGGTTAAGGTTAAGGTTAAGGTTGATGAGCTAGGTTAGACTTGGTCTATTTGGTGCTCATGTCCGGTAGGATGTTACATAGAAGGATCAACAGTAGACATATGTAGGATTGATGACTAGGAATGGCAGGTGGTAGCCCAGTGTCGGTCGAGTCTGTTCTTGAAGGCATTTGTAGAAGGCGCAGAAACAACATGATCAGGGAGCTCATTCCAGGGCGTAACGACTCTATTCGAGAAAAACTTGGCTCTGAAGTGATGGGCTGCTCTCTTTTTCTCCAGCTTCAAGTGGTGTCCCCTGGTCCTTGTGTTATCTTGTAGTTTGAACAGCTTCGTGGGGTCAATATCTAACTTGTTGGTAAGAATCTTGTAGGTTTCAATCAGGTCACCACGAGCAGCCCTGTCCTTCATGCTCATCAGGTCCAGCTTCCTTAGCCTGTCCTCATAAGAAAGATTTCTGATTTCTCGAACGAGTTTGGTTGCTCTCCTCTGAATCTTCTCCAACTTCAGTATATCCTGGGCCATATGGGGTCCCACTGTTGGAAAACAGTAGTCCATGTGTGGTCGAACGTAAGTAGTGTAGAGAGCCTTGAAGTTTTCAGTGGTGAGACGACTGAAAGTCATCTTGAGTAGTCTCAGCGCTACCATGGCTTTCTTAGCTGCTGCGTCACAGTGAGCAGTGGCCTTCAGGTCCTTTGAAATGATGATACCAAGATCACGTTCAAGATCAGTCTTCTTTAGTATCATGCTAGTCCCCTTATCATCAGTCATTTCATATTCAAAAGTGGCATCAGCATGACCACAGTGCATGATTTTGCATTTGTCGGTATTGAATTTAAGTAACCATTTTGAAGACCAGTCCATAAGCTTTTCTAGGTCTGATTGCAGAACCTCACAGTCATTGACAGATGAAATCCCACGAAATAACTTGGTGTCGTCAGCAAACAGTTTACATTCGCTTTGGATGAGTTCAGGTAGGTCATTGACGTATAGAATGAATAACAACGGTCCCAAGACCGACCCCTGGGGTACTCCGCTTGTAACATTGATGATACTGGATGTACTCTGACCGACTGTCACCTGTTGGGATCTGTCCGTTAGAAAGCTCTGGATCCATTTAAGTATATTGCCTTTTATGCCGTAAGCCTCCAGTTTCTTGATGAGTCGCTTGTGGGGAACTTTGTCGAATGCCTTTTGGTAGTCGAGATAGATGATGTCAACATTTTGGCCTTCATCAAGCCACCTTGTCCAATCCTCAAGTGACTCTAATAGGTTCGTTTGACATGATCTACCTTTTGTGAAGCCGTGTTGATGTGTACTCAACAGATTGTTTCTTTTCAAGTGTGAGCATACTTCTTTCAGGATCAGTCTTTCAAGAACTTTACATAGTTGACAGGTCAGGCTTACTGGCCGATAGTTCTGCGGCTTCTTCTTGCTACCCTTTTTGAATATGGCAGTGATCCTTGCTCGTTTCCACATTAATGGGAGTATACCAAACTGTAGGGATCTGTTAAACAGCATGGTGACTGGTTTGGTAAGTTGGTCCACACATCTTTTCAAGATGATTGTCGGTATGCCATCTGGACCTGCTGCCTTCCCTTCTTGGAGATTTAGCAGTTGGTTGTGCACCTCAATTTCTGTCAGTTGGATGCCTGTTAATGAAAGTTCATCACCAACACGGTCCTGAAACTCGGGTAACGGTCCTGTACCTTCGGTTGTAAACACTGATTGGAAGAACTTGTTCAGGGTATCAGCTGCCTGATGGTCATCTTCGGTTATTTTTCCTTCATCAGTCTCTAAACCTTTTACTTCTGGTTTCACCTTGAGTTGATTTCGAATGTATGTATGGATTCGTTTCGGTTCTTTCTTGCCAAGTACTGCCAACTTATTTTCATACTGCTGTCTGGCATTCTTGATGCTTTGCGCAGTCTTGTTTCTTTGCATGGCATAGATGTGATAGGTCTCCTCTGTTCTGGACTGCTGGTAGGCCTTCCAAAGAGCATGTTTGAGTTTGCCTCTTTTAACAGTTTCTTTGTCCACCAGGGTGCTAGCTTGTGATTGCCATTGCGTCTCTTCCAAATGGGTACATGTTCATGAATAGCTTTCATCAAGACATTGTAAAAACCACTCCACATGGCTTCCATGTCCATCTCTCCATATGCATTCCAGTTAACATTTTCCAGACTGTCTTTGATTCGATCGTATCTCCCTTTTTTTAAATTGTACCTGGCTATGTCTATCTTGTTGGTTCCAGAGACATCAAGCATTGATCTAAATTGGTAACACCAGGTCAGGACCAGGTGGTCACTTTTGCCTAATGGCACCCTAGTTTCCACCTGATCTATACTGTATTCTTGATTGGTGAAGATAAGGTCCAGTTGTTTACTGGCGCATATCTCGAAAAGTAGCAGGGAAAAGCAGCAAAGCACCTATATGGAACGAAAGATGAGTAATCAGAGGCTAGTATAAGATGTTCATTTTTAGCCGCTCGAAATAACGTTTTTATAAAAGTCTATTTAAAAATTTAGATATGATTTTTATTTAGGTCTTGCAGCTGCTCGCAAAAAGCTAGCTTATCTTGCAGAAAAGCGATGCAATATGTAAGAATGTTGTTGGTACAGTGAACAACAGTGCCCTGAACTAGTCTGACAGAAAATTGCGTTCAAAACGACAACTGGTCAACTAATAAATATCAACTAAAGATTGGCATTAAAATCGGCGAATGTGGTGGTCACTAGCGGGTCTAAATAGTCTTGTGTTTGGTGACAACTGACCACCTCAATTTCGACCTTAGGGCAAAAATGGCATCAGAATCG